CAGCTCATGTTCAGCCGGCTGTCGACCAACACCCCCAGGTCCTTTTCCGCCAGGCAGCTTTCCAGCCACTCCTCCCCAAGCCTGTAGCGCTGCATGGGGTTGTTGTGGCCCAAGTGCAGGACCCGGCACTTGGCCTTGTTGAATCTCATACAGTTGGCCTGGGCCCATCGATCCAGCCTGTCCAGGTCCCTCTGCAGAGCCTTCCTACCCTTGAGCAGATGGTAAGACCAGAGGTGGAGAGGGAGAAGGAAGACAGGGCAAGAAGCCAGGCACAAGGGCTCTGGAACAGGGACTGGGGAGAGAACATCAAGTATTCTGCCGGCAGGGAGGAAAGGACAGCACAGGAGGACAAAAGTATGAATGAATAACAGAGTCTGGGAAAAAGCTACCAACTGTCAGGCCTGGGCCCTCCGAAAGCACTGTCTGGACAGACATACAGACTGGCTGTTCCTAATGTGGCAAAAATCTGGGCCCCAGGCCAGCACCTCCTCAAAAACCTGGACAGAAAGTCTCTGTCCTGCCAGCCTTGGCATATTTGGGGGCCTCGTCCCACTGCCTAGAGACTGAGGCTGCTGCACCTCCATGATGGAAAAACACAACAAAAAGTTGTAGGGTTTGGCACATGCTGGAGTAACAACGCTGCCAGACATGACCATGAAATTGGCAATAAATGATGCAGAAAAGGCAGAAGTGCTCCATGACTGCTTATGTTCAGTACTTGCGAAGCAAACAGTGTGTAAAGGAAACGCCTCCTACTCGTGCAAGGGAGAGAAAATTAAAACAGAGTGGCAAAAGCTAAGCTGTGTTGGTGGCAGGATCTGAATCCTTGCCTTCAAGAGCTCCGAGAGAATTAGCTGAAGAGCTCACTCAGCAGCAGTTAAAAGGTGCTGATTTTAACATGCCTTAGAACATGGCAGCAGTTTGAAAGCCCACACTTTGCCAAGATCTGCAAGGGGAAAAGCAATGACCCTTGTAATTACGGCCACTTAGCCGGACGCTTACACTGGGCAAAACTGTGGAAAAGCCACTGCAAGAAGTGATCAGCAAAGAATGAGAGAACAGCAGTGTAACTAATGCCACCCAACGCGGAAACAGGTCATCAGAGAAGTTTGATCCTACTTTTGGTAAGATTGCAATATCTGATGACAATGGTAACTGTGTTGACACAGCATTTTTAGTTTTCTGTAAGGATTTTAACTGAGCAGCACACACCATTAGAAACCAACTGTACAAAATCCATAAAGCCATTAATGTACGGAGTAAAAACTGGTCAAGTGAAAGGTCTTAAAATGTAATCACAAATGAGAACAAGTGTAATCATAAATGGCAAATCCATGTCCAACAGAAGTACTTGTATAGAGGTCCAGCCAATCTGCATTTGATTCACATTATTTAATCAACGTCCTCCCCAAACGAGCTCAAAGAAAACACAAAACCAGAAAACTTCAAGGAAACATAGAAACTGCATAGCATAAATCAATGCAGTGACTGGTCGTTAACACAAATTGCCTCATATCACTTAGCAAACTGGGCTCCTGAGAGTAGTGTGGATTTTAGCACAACTCGTGCAAGGTCCTGCACCTGGGGACAGACTGCCAGACCACCCTGCAGAGTGGGCTCTCTGGGCTGGAGAACGCCGCCGCCGAGCAGTTCCTGAGCTCCCGGTGTTCAGCTAGGAAGGTAACTCAACTGGCCAGTGAAGGAGCAGCAGACTATCAGGTTGGACAGGGCAGATGGTATTACCTCCAGGTGTGATATTATCACAGCAAGGCAGA